ATTTATCCACGAAAATAATTGTTATTTGGTTCGACACTGAATGACTAATGAACTTGATGACAAATATGCATGATTACGTACTAATAAGAAGTTATTAACTTCAATTTCTGTCATAAGCAAGTAGATACTTAAATATTTACTATGGATTATTAATTCGTAAAAATAAAACACACTTTCAAATTCTTCCCAAAAAATTCTTAGCTTTAGAACATAGAGAGATCTTATAGATATCCTATCTAAATATAGGTAAGTAGGTGCCCGAAAATATAAAGTGACGAGACATAAATAGGCACATTTATGAAACCCACCTTGCCCATTTATTTACTGTCACAACATCGAACCAAGTTTTCGGAACAGAGCAAAAGTAAGGTAAGTTACGTCTCAATCTCCCATAGTCATATGCAAGGATTTATTTGGGCCCAGCGAGATTGAGGGTCCCCAATTTTCTTTGTCCATCACTTTGATATATCGTGTGCACTATCTCTGTGACAGTATTGTAAACGAATAGGCTACATAAAGTGAAAAGTAAAAAAAGATTGTATGTAGTGATTTTTCGAAAGTTTGACCTTGTAACTCTAAAGTTCAAGAGGTCTAATGTCTAGCCTATAGTGACCTTGGTTTAAGTGTTAGGGTATTTTTCTGCTCTAGGAAAATATTAATTGGTTTTCTTACCAAGAACCTTTAAACTGTCGAATGTTAAGAAACAGTTTTTTTTTCAATTTATTACCAAACTGATTATTTGTAAACTATTGCTTATTTATTAACTACAAGTCAATTACGGATTTCATATACAAAGATTTTGCCTACTTTAAATAATTATGTAAACAGCATGGTACAAACTAATGCGAAAATATTTTCTTAGAACCACAAATAGAAGCAAAGAACCTATTTTCAAAGAAGTCGATTTCGTCTACAGAAAAAGTCCAGCGCACTGTTTTTGATAGCACTTTGAAGAGGAACAAATCCCTCAAACGTTTGAAAATCAATTTGAAACAGGGGAACGAGAGATATTTCGCAAAAATGCAATAGGGATCCTAATGCCGACAGCATAGGGATTCTGATTGATAGTCCCTTTTCGGTCTTACGGTCGCATCCCTTCTGATTCCATAACAAACATTCCTAGTGCCAATATTTGCCTTTTCATCCTTTTTCACTTACTTAGCTGAGAAACGTCGTAAGTCGGAACCATATCGGAAGTATTGTATGCAGTCTGAATACAAATCAACCGCTGCGGGATGCCGGAGGTGAGTTCTGATGAAAATATTTTCTCACGTCATAATCAAAGTTTTCTTCCGGGTTGTAAATAAATCATGATATCGTTGCGGTGTGAACTGTGAAGTGTATTAATAGCATACCTTCCTGAAAATATGAAAAACACGTAATACTATTGAGATTGTACCCGTATTCTAGTTTAAACTGTCAAACACCGAGCGGTCACCGGTGACCGCAACCTATTGTTCTTTAATTGTGTCTATAAATACGGTAGGTACTCGACGAGTTAAACCGTCGATTTAAGTATGGGAGAGCCATGCTTCGGCATGAATGGGCCGGCTCGACCGGAGTGATACCACGGTCTCACAAAAAACCGACGTGAAGCAACGCTTGCGTTGTGTTTCGTCGTGTGATTGAGGTTACCGAGGGCTCAATTACCATCCCCTTCCCCAATCTCCCCAATTCCTGAATCCCCAACGATCCTCAAACTCCTAATCCCCAAAAGGCCGGTAACGCACTTGTAAAGCCTCTGGTGTTCCAAGTGTCCATGGGCGACGCCGATTGCTTACCATCAGGTGATCCGTCTGCTCGTTTACCGGCTTATGCTATAAAAAAAAAACTAGAGTGACTAGAGTATGAAATTGTAGCCTAATTTGGTAGTCGAGTTTGAGTTCTGTGTGTAATTCATTCCTATGTTTCACATTGAAAATTACCCGGAAAACTGTCTCATATTTCAGTGGGTACCGCGCGTCCTTGGCCAAACACCATATAAACACAAAAACGATGCGATGTTTACGACACATTGTAAAACATTCATATACAAACATGTATGTACTTGTACACAAACGGAACAACTTACTACGCATATCTAACTAGCTGGATCGTGACTGGATATGAGATTTTCCGCCATATATTTCTTTGTACCTACGTAAGTGGATACCTACGTAATTAAGTAGGTACATACATTACATACTAATTGTACAAAGGAGTTAGTACGTATCATGACAGTATTAGACCTGTTTAACTTGCAACTCAGTGTCTTCACCTCCCTAGTACCTAGATGTGTCGTGGAGAACCTAACGGGTAAGTAAGTACCTGACGGGGCTCCGGCTCGAAGTGCAGGAGAAGGAACGTGGTAGTTTTAGTCAGAAAGAGTCTGACACTCCCTTCCGCCTCGCCCAGGCGGGAGCAGTCATTCGATGATTTTCCCCTTTAAAAAAAAAGTACCTAGATGCGTTTCTACATAACATAACGCCTTTTGTCCTCCAGGGGTGAGCAGAGGTGCACATTACGGCACTTAGTGCCAGTAAACAATGTAACACCCACTTTTCACGATTTATGTTTTCACTCCCATGTAATGGGGTGTGAGACTATTGCCATATACTGTGCACAATTCCAGACTCCGTGCTACTACTGAGTTTTTTTTTTTAAATCCAGTAAGACTGCATGACCCGGGAATCGAACCCGAGACCCCTTGCCCGATAGTCGCCCTTGCAACCAATCGGCCAACGAGGCAGTCTTGCTTTTGTACATGTTGTTAAGTGTCCCTTTAAAATATTATGTTTGGAAGTCGTACACAATCACAATTCTAACCTCTATAGTAACTACAATGTGATAAAACTTTATTGACTGCACGGTTGGTGCAGTGGCTGGGTAACCGCCTGCCGTGCAACGTGTCGCGGGTTCGATTTCCGCACGGAACAACACTTTGTGTGGTCCACAAATTGTTGTGTCTGGTTTGGGTGTCATTGTGTATGTGAACTTCTATGTTTGTTTACCCACGACAGAGGAGAAAAGCCTATTGTGGGGCAACGTTTTTTATTTAAAAAAAAAACAGAAAAGAGGACTAAAAGGAAGAATTTTACATAATCATTACATTTCTTGGCCATCAATCACGCAAGTTTATTACACTATAAAGGATAATCTTCTCGAATTAGTATGTTGCTCACACACAATCCCGCATAATATTCGACATTCCATAGTCCCAAAACCCCATATGCATCGCCATAAGAAAGGAAACCCCATCAATATTGAACATTGTTTTCCTTTTCAAACCCCAAAGTTGTACTGCGAATGGAAAATGTGATTTCTAATAAATTCGCGTAAATAGTTCTATGGTAGTATGTATTGACCATTAAAAAGTAATAGATGGAGCATAGTAGGTACATACATTTACTGTGGTACAAGTACCTGCCGGCTACGAAATAGAGATGATGACGGGGTATGAAAATTAAAAATCTAAATAGTCTGTCAGTTAGATAATGAAAAATATTAGACACAAGAAAACAATACTACAAAACGAATCAAAGTTTAGGAGTGGGAGTAAAAACGTCATTTCTACGTATAAAACGTACCTAGAAGTGACGTCACGCGATATGTCGTCGAAAATATTTTCTTCTGTAAGAAATAAAAAAATACGTGTCTAATGTTTTAAACCACCAGACGGACATTCGAATAAAAAATAGTCATCTACCCTATTCTCAGCGCCAGTCTAACACTCCCTAATACGTAACGGGCTTGATGTTCATATAATATAGGGTAAAATATAATAATTTCCAGGTAAGCAATTTATCATTCTATCTACCTAGATACCTACAAATACTGAATACTTGGCATACCACAGCCACCACAGCCGTAGCGTGCTTGTATTTCAAGTAGATATTAATTTAAGTGGCTCAGAACAAAATTCTTATACATACCTAAGTACTTACGCATATTCGTATCAACCACTCGCATAGAATATTCCTCTTATTGGCTAATTTCATCAAACAGTCACGTTCGACCTTTGATAAACAATTTGTTTAACACCTCAAAGTTGGGGAGTTTCAAAACGACCCTGACAACTTACAAATAATAAATGTCTGTACCTTCAAACGAAGTATCTTGAAACTGTATTTGGAAAGTTTCGAAAAACCCAAATTGCGAAGACGTCTGTATTAGTACGTAGGTACTTCGTTCTCGTGTAAAAGACAGTCATTTCAAACTAACTTTACGTACTTATTATTACATTACCTTTGAGTCTTTTAAACTGCCTCGTGTTGTCCTACAGTGTCAGACAGAAGCATGTCTTTGTTTTGTTCTTTGTGTGTGTGTGTGTGTGTGTTTTGAAGTAGTTGATTTTGTACTTGTAATAAGACAAACTCCAGTAAATAAATGACTCGTAAATTTGTAATTTGTGTCTTGAAATATTGCATGAGTATACGAGTATTCATTTACTGAACAAAATCTTATAAAAGGTTTGTTATAAATTTTATGTAACATATTTAAACTGTCAAACACCAAGCGGTCACCGGTGACCGCAACCTATTGTTCTTTAATTGTGTCTATAAATACTCGGCGAGTTAAAAGCCTATTGAACAAATCTAGATATATTCGTATTTATGTTTATTACGCGAAGATGCAAAATATGCGTATAGTATCGATGAATAATCGTATATCGATGTCAAGGTTCCGACATATTGATTGAAAGTGCCTAGGCATGTGAACCCACACCTGATCAAGAACTTAATAGGAACATTGGAACCTTTAAAATAAAAAGAATTCAACTATAAAACAATATCAATAGAGTGTATTATCAATTAAGCTTTGTGATAAAAAATTAAAGGTACATTTTTATAGTTAATTAAATTAAATAAAAATTGTCATATAATATTTAAGCATAGTACATTAAGAAATTCACAACGTGTTAACTTGGAACAAAAACATAGAAAAATATTCACAATCAAATTGATCCCTTGTGACTTAATCTAAGTTCGTCATAGTTGCTCTTCGTGAAATATAGTGGGTCGTTACTCGAAATTGACCCAAAAAGTTTTTGGTATACCCGGTTGTCGCAGGCACTCGTTCCAACTGTCTCCATAGGCGGATTTTTCATCTATCGTCGCTTTGCCGAGAATTTCCTTCTTCGCCATTTTCGTCTTACAACCGAGGCTAATATAAATACTGACTTTATTCAAACTAGCTTTGAAAACTGTCAGTTTCACCGTAGCAGATTTCGGGTCCCATCTGGCTGATATTGCGGGAACAAATCTATCGCTTTTCCAATAGCATTCAGCTTTGTTCGCTTCTAATATCGTTGCCTTCAGGTACAGAGGAGCTGGAAATAGATAATTTATGCTCATTAAATAATTTAACATAGATTCATATCTTCTTCATTAGGTACCTATATCTATGGTTCAAACGTACTTGTCTACTTATCGGGAATTAAAGAGTTAGAAATCACATTTTGTTTTATGTGAATTACACTGAACATAATACAAGTAAAGTTTGGACCACCTACAGAACATATAATAACCTTATCGGAAAGAGCTCCCACGATCTTGACCTAGCTACCTACCTACTTGAAGACTACCCAAAAGACATAGACCATTTTTTCTGGTTCAAAGAAACACGTGTATTTTTTAGGAGATGGAGCCGAACGACAATGAATTAAGCCTAAGGCACAAAAAGAAATTGTACAACTGGGAGAAGCCCAGTCCCCACTTCCCCAGGCACCACGGAAATTTGACTCAAAACTAAGTGGGGCCTATGTATGAGTTGTTATACTTGTAAACACGTGTATGTACAAGCTAAAACAAATTATAATTCTGAAATCACATCATGGGCGTACATAAACATTAATTCTAAGTAAATATTAATTACGTGACACGAATTTCTTCAGTAGATAATCTCTACAAAAAGGTATCTAACAGGCGTATAGCCTAAAAAATTTAAATAGCTACATTATCAAAGTAAATATGAAATGATGAGCACCCAAACAAAATTTAATATAACACGTAGAGAAAGTACTAAAACACGAACCGCTGTATATAGAGTAGGTAAATACCCTTGTACATACCGAAGTAAATACTCTTATCGAATTACTTTATCGTTTAATAAATTAAAACACAATATTCTATGTAAAAAGGAACACGTGTTCGTGTATAATATTAAATAAATATTTTACCTGCCTTTGAAAAATTATATACGGTTCGGATATAGGAAATTGATATATGTTTAAAAATACTGATATTAATTGGGTTGTACGGCTTACTTTCGTTATTTTTCGATAAGGTACCTCAACAAGTCACAAGTTTACGCCGCGAGAGGCATGAGCGACTCTGGCTAATTTATGGGCGCTTGTGTGGCTTGAAATTAGTAGAGTAATAGGCCAAGATAGTATTTAAAAAACTCTTCAATTGTAATAATACTATGCGACAGTTATTCAGGTTATCTTACATGATATGTATAAACTAGGTATATAAATAAAAATGAATTTCCGTTCATTAGTCTCGCAATACCTCGAGAACGGCTGAACCAATTTGGCTTATTTTTACCGACTTCATTTAAATGTTCGTGGAAGTCCAGGGAAGGTTTAAAAGGTAGGAAAAAACAAATGAGGCGCTATGAAGCGTGCAGGGTCGGCTAGTCTACGAACTAATACGAATATGACATTATGACTGAATCAATGATAATAATTATATTAATAGTTCTATTATAATCGGACTAAATAAAATTGTTAAAACTTCCTCTCGAATCAACTACAACCTGCTAAGTACCATTTCTAACTTCGTACTGTTATTAGATAAATAGAGCCCTTCCATGGCAATCATGATCGCGATATTGATACAAATAATTCCATACTAGCTTTTCAAACCCTACAGACTTACTGCATCTACATGACAAACTAATCTTCTTGCATCGACCATTGTTTTTGTTCCTGCGTCACCCAAAGGTCTGAGGCCTTCGTACGAGTTTCATTTACGTTTAAAAGTAATCGTAACAAATACGCGTTCGACACTCTGATTGGCCGGCTCAAGTGAACCAACCAATCAGAGTGCCGAACTATACCTACGTACATACGTACCTATACCGTATAACTATACCTACCTATACCGTACGAATACTTTAAACTTAAATGAAACTCGTACTAAGGCCTCTGGCTGGAGGAGTATCCACATGGCATTAAGCCCACCTTGTACATTATACCTCTAGTGTGCATGAAGCTTTTTAAAATAAAATCTTTATGAGTATGGTCTGCTAATGTAGTCAAGGTGTTATCGCCTTATCTTAAGTCAGTCAAGGATGGAAAAACCTTGATAACGTCAACTATCGTTTTCTAAAAGAATCGATGAATCAAGCAATAAAACCATATTTCTGCCAATGTTCAATGTTCATGTCAATCAAATGAAACCAGATCTGATAGCTAAATCAATTAGATTTTCTGAGAAAATGGTCCTACGTACCTACATATACATGTTCGTACTATATCACTTACTATGTTTCTTTTCTTTTCCTCAAAGATCAGTCCGAATATGTAAACAACAGTTCTTATAGTCTCTCATCAACCGTAATACATCTGCAGTGTCCACTAGTAAACAAAGGCGTCCCACTTAAGAAGGGGTTCGCCATAATCCTCTTCCCCACTCTTAATGGTGGTTTAGGAATCGAAATGTAAAGAATGCTACTGTCCTTTCCTCGTTGGCTGATCGCAGTTCAGGATATACCTACCTAGGACCTCGGTTTTATTTCTTCTTAGAATAAAGTTATATTAATCCTATTATAAAAAGGGCCAGCCTTTATTTAAATAACTCAAATTCGTGCTACGCAAAGGTTTTCCTAATCACAAACTTCGCCGACATTGGAATTGAACTCAAAACATTGTGTCCAGCACTTGCCCAGCCAACGAGACAAAAAGGGAAGGCTATTTGTCATTCATTGAAGGTTTTTATCAAAACACATCTAATATTATCAATCGTTTGCTTAATCCATTATTATATACAACTATCTATAAGTGGTGAGCATATAGATTGTATGTGTACCTATTGACAGATACATTACCTGCTTATCACTGTTATCCTAATTCTATTGACATTATATTGATGATGGCTTGAAGCTTCAAGTTACGCCTACACCATGACAACGATACGACACAGGTAAATCAATTCTCAGCGCAATTAGTACCATCTCCTCCGCCACCTCCTTAAATATTGTTAATGTTTACACGTGCCGTTTTACTCGCAAACTAAATAATCAGGCCATTCAGTATCACGTATTAACATCGTCTGTATCGACTATTAGCTTCTTAGTCTAAGGGATTAATCCTCACTGTTAACTTATTAGCGCGCTGCCATCTGGTTATTTGTTGACATAAGGACGTGTGTACGAGTCTATATATATCTAGTTTTATAAGAAACAGATGTGCAAACGGACACACTGCGGTATGGTACGCGGTACGCGGAAGCGACCCACAATATACACAGATAGGTCACATGATGTCGGGCCATATACAACGGCACCTACTTTCGGGACAAAAGCCAATAAGGTTTGGCTCCATTCAACCTTACACGAATCCAACAGTACCCGCTCATGTGTAACGAATATGACCTAAGACCGAAAGACCGAAAAATCCAGAAATGCGCGAAAAATATTCGATTTTCGTGAACCTTTCGTAATTGTAAAGGCGGCCTTAACTATTTGAGTTGTGATTCAACGCACATTCGTCTTGAACGTAACTCTCTCCTCTTTAATAAGCAAACAGTATTGCGTGGGCCGCCGCGTCGCCTCGAGTGCCTGTCTCTACAGATAAATTATATGAATGAAGTTTAGTTACACGGACGCGGGCCACTGTCCGCCTGATGAATCTCTAAACAGGTCGAGGTTGAGCTCTTTGAATATTTATGAAATTTGCTCAAATGTATTGGACACAATATAACTAAATAACTTCCTGGTATATTAGTACCTAGTAATTTTGTTTTTACAGTTATTTATAGCGCGACGCGTTCCTTATGGGTTCACGGCTATTACTTCTTGATGTTTGTTAGACGTTCTCGTAAATCTAGAAGTTTTTGTAATACATACAGTATTATCATAAAATAACGTTATGTGAACAGCAAATTATTAAAACAACGTTAATTACACGAACAATCTTGATACAAACTTTCGAGTAGGTAATTATTCGGGTTATCATTGTTTTACTTATTTCGGTAATTCCGGGTATACCTATTCGTAAAACAAACATAGTAAGTAGTGTGTTAGATGATATTTTTATACCTACCTAATATTGTTACAATGTTCTCGCGTAAACAATGTGCAAGTGAAGTTACCACATAATACAATACATCAAGTAGATCGCTATGTATTTATCTAAGTTGTTTTTCGAGGGGAAATGCGTCCTTTATTCTTGCACTAAACTGCTGAGAATAATAACCACAATTTTACCATTTTTATCATGACGACAATCTAAGTTTATGAAACCATACACAGCATACACTGGAGAATGTTTTCCAAGTTTACGATTTAAGTCCGCGTCAGTTTATAGAAAATTGTGTTAGTTCAAGCGACACTTGCTTACACAAGCGACATTCGTCTATGTAATTTATTCAGAGCATGGAGCCCTTAACTCGAGTGCGGTACATTGTTTCTCCAAATAGTTGTAAGAGGGATGCAGAACGTATAATTATAGATGCTGAGGACTAATGGTACTAGCGATAGATCCTCCCCTCGATATCATTAGGCGAGGGTACAAGATACATGGTTATATTACGGCTACACTTCCAAATAGATTGAGTCGAAGTGGCAATTATTTCCCCTTTTTCCTGTACATTTAAGTAATTGTTACTTATAGCGAACACATAATGCGGCTCGTATCGGTAACTGACCGAAAATGTGGTTAATTAGTGACGTGTTATCGACCAGCGCGTATGTGTACTGTGTGAATGCTATTAGAATGGACGTATTGTGATACCCTTTCATCCGTAGGCTATTTTCTGGTTTGTTCTGTTCCGTTTGTGGGAAAATTGAACTTCTTTCGTTTACAATAGTTAACGACTTTAAGAATATTTATGGCTAGTGTTTTGATGAAGAGATTTAAGATCACTCAGTCATTAGATCGACTTACTCGATCGACGTGGAGGCTTTACACAAGTGATTTAAGAAAAAAACTACACTATTTGACATTTAGTAGTATTTTTCTCTTGAATTACCTTTATATTGTTCTTGCTGTTGCATCGTCTGCACACTGCATCGTAGCCTGTTGACCGTCAGCTGCACTATATCATTCAACCCGTCTTCACTTGCCGTGTACAATAGAGTAACTTCCAACTGGCCCTTCTTGTTTTCCCGCTGTAGACACAAATTACACGGAGTTTATGCTAATTGTCACAGATTAGAGGCCCGTATGGGCAATTTGTACACAATCAACCATATCTGTGCCGCCTTCAGCGAACATTACTGGAGATACAAGATATTTTACTAGACAAGGAAGGAAACTGGGCACAGATCCAAGTAATACTAGTAATAGTAAGAATAAAATGGTGTTATGTTAACTACCTACTTTGTAATAATGTTAGTAGAACGATTCAGACCGTATGACTTCATGATCGTTTGTGTTCCCAAAGCGTTGTTTTATTTTCCTTTGACTGTCGTTTGAGCTAACAGTTTTCCCTCTATAGCCTTTTTAAATAAAACTAAAACCTTAAGCCATTTTAAGTCTTATCAGTATGTGACTAAAGAAGCAATTTTCTAATGTTCTTTCTAGCGGTGAGATAAGTAGACTGATAACGTCTGACGCGACGTAACGACAGTGTTTTATTGCATTTATTTTATGTAAAATTGTACAGAACAGAAATATCCATTGACGTAATCTCTTATGTAATTTATTGAGGTGTGATTACATCTTTCAATTTTGGGTGCAGTCACTTGAATCGCAAGGTTAAATGGTCTAATGGCAAAGGATTTCAATTCCCAAATCGGATAAAAGTCTTTTTGGGATCATTGTTAAGTATTTTCGAGTTTGTTCCAGTGCAACAGCAATTGACTAAGTTATTACAAAACACCTATAGAATAAATGGCGAGAGTGAAGTTAGGTTTAACTAGCTTTATTCCTGTTTTATCTCATGGGAGCATTTATCAGGATAAAAGTATTCTATCACCTAAGTCAGCCCATACAGCCCTTTCATCAAAATTTGTTCAGAAGCTTCTGCGTGATTGATCGACAAACATAAAAAAAACTTTTTCGTTTATAATATCAGTGTGATTACACCTTCAGTACCTTCAGTACAAAATTCAGAATCATATTCATTAGATTTGTTAAGACATTATCGTCTCTTAACCACGACATCTTTCATGTAGGTAACTTTGTTGTTTCTAGTTTGTATAACTATATTGATATTATTCAAAATTTCAATATAGACTAGTTACCGTATGTTTTAAAGGGAACTAGTGTTTAAAGGATCAATTGTGACTAGCCCAATCAAATTTCCTTGACTAAATATCTACTTAGGTCGATATACTTGAAAGACCTAATAGTGATTGATAAGAACATTAAACTTAATAAAAGGAATTCTATAACAATCCTACGAGATGTTAAACGTTAAAATGCTGTTTATATTCCAATTCTCAAACGTAATTCCACTAAGTACTCATCTAGACACTAACAACGTTATTTAATTACAAAAAGACAGTCACAAGGATTGTGGGATCACTACCTAATTAGTACAAGTTATACGATTACAAATTACCCTAATTGAACACGCTGTAGTTACCATAAAACAATCTAATGAAATAAATCAACTCTACTTTAATAATTAGCAGAAATCAATGATCGATTAGTAGGTCTAATAAAATCGATATGAATTTATTCGTAATTATACCGAATTTGTGCGCACGAAGACGAAGCATAGTTATGACCTTACATCATCGCAATAAACGTAGGTAGACGATCAGATGGAACCGGCCGAGGTCGAAACTATTCTATTGTACGAACAGCATTAAGATTTTATTCACACGAACACGCTCTTCGCATATTAATCACACATAACAATGACTCATACATTAATTGATATCGTTATCTTCAACTAGAGATTTCTATTGCTTCTTAACTACACTTAAAATCGTGTATTTCTAGTCACCGCTTAGCTTAATGACACTTTCTTTTATAACGTTTAGAATGCCTTGCCCTCCTGTTCACGACCCCTACCGAAAAAATTAACATGATCTTATTTGTAACCATGGCTACAACGAACACGACTTTGACGATAATTAATTTAAAGAGAATAAAGCTCTCTTGTTCAAAAGTAACAACTGTATAATTTACTGAGTCTTTGAAGTCTTCATTATATTTGACTTGCCTTATACTTAGTAACGAAAAATAAAGCCTTCACACGAAATAATAATGATCACACTAAAATATTAAACAAGAAAAATCTTTGAGAATATTTCTTTGAAACGTATTATTCCACTGTCGGCAATTTTATCGAGATCAAGTTCATTACGAACGGAAATAAATTCACTGTATAACTAACGAGTCTATCCTCACTTGTCCATTTAAGACTATTTTTATCACAGTGATTAGCATCGCACGCGACAGTGACTTATAACGTTAATTACAATCGGAGTACGTACCCGTGAATCAGCTGCCGTGATACCACTCGTGATGGCGTTGATTGGTCTCCAAATATCTGGAGTGCCGATCAAACCGTTCTTAAGATCATTTTGAAACAACTTTGAGTCGAAATTCCAAGTCGCCGCTCCCACTGTTCTCCGTTTCTCCAGAATTGACTTTTGTGCTATCGCCTCGGCTTTCGTTGATTTGAAACTGCTAAATGTCTTTTCTAAGAATCCAGTCTTAGGTTTTGGTTCTTCTTGTTCTGCGACCTTGGCAGATTTTTTCGAATCTAGTGTTTTGCTATTTTTTCGCTTGTCTGTTTCTTGTTTTGGAGCCTCTAATATAGCATAAATGGTAAGCGACAAAAAGTGGCCGGCGAGCAAACTTTGAAGGTCAGTTTTTTCTTGTCCCTTCTTAGCATCTTTTTGTTTTAATTGAAATTTAAAATCCTCATTCCACACCGGCCAAGAACTCTCCTGTAATGTTGTTTCAAATCTACTGTCGCCGGGAAACACTTTGACCTGAAATTTTAAAATGTCGTTATTTCTGCTGGATGGAAAAAGCCATTTGACGCCATTTGATGTCTAAAACAAAAAGTAGCATTTAGGTTAGTACATAAGTAAGTAAACCGCAACTTTATATTATTACATTTCAGCATGACATCATTATGACACTACCTTGCAACTTATCAGGGTAAACTAAACCGATGAAATTAATTAAAACTAGTTTTTAAATTCGATAACATAGCACGAGTTTTAAAACAAAGTTATATTGGAATTGAATTTTTAACTTTTTTGTGAGAAATTATCGTGAAGCTAATGAATGTGCTAAATGTAGGTAACTGCTGTTTAACTAGTTAATATTGAACATTTTTGATTGTTTTTTATAAATAAAGAAATATATTTAGGTAGTATTCTACTTTGAAAACTACCAAAAGAGGGAAGAGAGGGGAAGAACTACTGACAAATTGAAGAAATTAACATGTTACGGTGACCCCAAATAATAGGAACAATGCAGCCAGATGATGATGGCAGACAAAGACAAATTTGTCACAAGCAGTGATATACTAAATGTCCGGATCAGACGGGATAAAAAGTATTTACAGCGGCTAAACCTCCCAACTAATGCGACCCATATAACGGTGTAGCCGCAAAAAAGCGAATTTAACAAAAAATGGTTTCATTTTGACCTTATTTCTCTCCTTACTTTTAATATTATAGTATGTTTAAATAGCTATTGTTATACGAAAACAATACGTCGACTAGATTTTTGTTTGGTATCTGGAGTAATGATAGTTAATGATTTATCCATGAGTAACTAGTTATCTAAGACTTTTTTAAACTCTACATTTGAATGGATCAGACAAGCTCTTCAGCGTTAGGTCCCTAGTTAACTAAATTAACTCTTAAGAGACCCGTTCCTTGAATAGACGTCCTTAATTGGTAAGCATTCCATTTAATTGATGGTAGCATTTGCCTCAAATATCCTTTGAATGAACCCAAAATCACATACGGTTTTGCAAATATATGGGGTCAGTCAAGGTAGCCATTAATCATCAAACGTCTCTGGTTAGGGTTCGAATGGTACATTTCCACATCGTTTTAAACTATGGCAATATAAATAGAAGCCCATTGATTGCCAGGCTAACAAGTCATTCAGCAATTCGGAGCCAGTCCATTTGACCCGCTCGGTTTACCAGTAAATTGAATTTAAATTAATGTCGAGATCTCTATACAGCGGCACTAACAATACGCTGTCTGGATTTCTGGAAGGGCTTGCTTTAATAGTATTTTATTTAGTAAACCCATATTGTCGTCTTCTGTAATATAATACTAAAACCAAATCGTCTTCAAGCCTTTTGTGTAAATAACTTTAAATTACTATAGTTTGTGAAGTTTGTTCATTATAGAATCCCTTGAATTTTAATTGTATTTTGAACAATTGCCTCTTGTACCAAACACAATTAGTCTTGTGATAGGACACATGTCTTTTTAAACGGAGCAACTAGTAATTACTGTAACTTAGTCTTCGAGGCCAACCAGGCGCCCGGAACAGTACCTATGTATATCATTTAATTTCTTAATTCTGGAGCTCAATAGTTGGATGATACAGTTATTGTATTATAGTGATTATTATTAACCAAATCAGTGCTGATTCAATTTCGCAGGTTGTTAACAACAACAGCTCATTGTTACTTTCAAGTTTTAAATGGTAAACGTTGAAGTATCGGTTATCAGCCTTTCAATGGATTACAAATCTGATATTAATATATAATTGCTACCAGTTTAAATTCATTTAACTACTCGTATGTTATAATATCAATTTATCTGCTTCAATTTCAATGATAAATTACTGTGCAGCAATTAAATTAAATGCTGTTCAGCTTTGGTGGTTTCCAAGTAACAAATATTTTTTGGGACGGTTAATTAAAATTGAACAAAGAAACCGACTTGATGCATTATTAAGTATTTATAAACGCATGTATCTCTTTAGTCACTCTAGGACAAGCATTTAATATATACATTTAGTTGTTGCCCGTGACTTCGTTCGCGTAGAATAGGTATGAATTTTACGACATAGTTAATTGTTTGTTTCAATTTTACATCAGCTACTTGCCAATTTAAGTCTGTTCAAAGTCCGGTCAAAATCTGTCCAGCCATTCCAGAGATTAGCCAGTACAAACAGAAAAACAGACAAAAAATTAAAATAAAGTTATTTTGGCATGAGTATCGTATGTACCTATATTCATATGTATGTAGTAAAAAGAAGTTATTCTCATAATACAAGCAGACATTCCAATAATTATATTTATCAGTTTAGATTCGTACACTGAACTTATTTTATGACAATTTTTCGGGTTAAATAACGTTTAAAAAGTTTAATGTATAGTACAGAGGCCTTAGTACGAGTGTGATTTACGTTTAAAGTATTCGAAACGAGTACGCGTTCGGCAATCTGATTGGCCGTCGCCAATGAACCAACCAATCATAGCGCCGAACGCGTACTCGTTACGATTACTTTAACCGTAAAACAAACTCGTACTAAGGCCTCAGATACGTTCTACATGTCTCCTTCAGTCTCGGAAATAGGAACTTAAACATTGGTGACTCTGGAAATTGACTTGTTAGTCGTGTCATTTGATTCACCAGTATTAGTACTGCCAACTTACTACCTAGTTACCCTTTAGCAATTATACACAAACATTTTATATAAACTTTATAATAAATACATAGTACGCTAACATCACGACAAAGATGTATTAAATTTTAAAAATGTTCTTAAAGGAAAATGATCAAAGTTATTGTCCCGTGAAATATTTACAAAATAAGTACTTTTAAATATTTTCATAACGTTTTTGACGGCTACCATGATTCAGTAAACCTTATAAAATGAAATAAGCCGTCGGAGCATCTTTTGTCAATTTGCTTCTGCGTGCTTGAACATTTATGCGAACTTTGACCCATTTAAACTGTCAAATACCAAGCGGTCACCGGTGACCGCGACCTATTGTTCTTTAATTGTGTCTATAAAACCGGTACTCGACGAGTTAAATTAAATGAAACTCTTGCGAATGGAGGAGTTAATGTGATCTCAATTCAGGACAATGCAGAAAAGGAGTTTTGAGATAGCCTTGACTATTTTTTATAATACTCGTACCATTATTACAGTCCGTCTTTAAGTCGAGTGCAGATTTTATACCTCTATTATGAAGTAATGTAAATAAATGTAGATCTAATCAATAATTAGGGAATGCCCAGCCAAATACATTGTCTAATTTAAATAAATATTTCAATATCAAGAGAAATGTGTGGCTATCGGAATTGATACATAATTCCTAAGTACACACCAATGGATAAGATGTATAGCAGAAAGATAAGAGAACCGATAACCGCATTGTAACAATAACTAGTGACTTTCATTGATAAAAAAATGATAAAACAGTCATAATGTTGGTCGCGCTGGACGATAACGTAATGACAGTTTAGACTTAGGCTTTAAAAATTTTAATGTGTGTTACTATAACTATTGAGTAGTTATTTAACTAGCCCGCGACTTCGTATGCGCAATCCCGTTTTCTCCCGTTCGCGTAGGTTTTCAATTTTTTTTTTCTATCATAATAACCTTCTCCTGATAATAATAAACACAACAAATAAAATAGTGAAATCGATCCAGCTCTTCACGCGTGATGGTATGACCAAGGGAAGGAAGGAACGTTATCGGGGGCATAATTCCTCCCAATTTCTCAAATCCCCAAACTCGCAATCCTTAAATCCCTAACCCCCCAATGGCAACGCACTTGTAACTCCTTTGGTGTTGCGGGTATCCATGGACGGCGCCAATTGCTTACCATTAGGTGATCCGTCTGCTCGTTCGCCGGCCTATCACATAACCAAAGATGTAAACAGTAAAAAAATATTGCATCTATTCAGTAGTCGCTCAAAATTACAGATTCGTTCGCATCGTAATACAATCACAAATTGACGCATAGAATCGTTGTTGTCAATTAATTTTATAGTTGATGGCTAGATCTTTAGAAATAACTATAGTTTATAGCTAGCAACTTATTCCAGCTAGTATACTGAATACCGAATCCATTCACACATGGTCTAACTATACGGTTTAATTATAAGTGCAACCCACCCTTTGTCCTTTTATAGTTTGATAGATATTTGCCATTTTGCAATAACTTATCGTTTATCTGAACCATAAAAAAACGTTTTAACAGGTCCCATAAATAAAACAAACATCTATCAACTATTTTGCGTAGTTATGCCAAAAATATCGAGGTGTCCATTAAACAGGACAGGCACATTGCCGGCTTACAATATCAATGTTTATTGGCGCGGTATTACGTTTTGTATATTTTATTAATGTTGACGACGCAGGCAGCGTTTAGGCACTCGACTTCAAATGAATAAATAAAACCTATGAAACGAGAATATTGTACTGTAGTAACTAGTTATTAAAGATTTTTTTACAAAACTAACTACTAAATAATTATATTTTTTAATTATTTATGTAAGTAAGTTTTCTGCTGCCTCGTTGCCCGAGTGGTCGCAAATGCGACTGCCGGGCATAGGGTCTCGGGTTCGATTCCCGGGTCGGGCAAAGTATTACTGGGTTTTTAAAAGAAATCTCAGTAGTAACACGGAATCTGGAAATGTGCCCGGTATATGGCAATAGGCTTACCCCCATATTACATGGGACTCATAACATAAATAGTGAAAAGTGGGTGTTACCTCTGTGTGCACCTCTACCTACCCCTTCAGGGACAAAAGGCGTGATGTTATGTTATGTAAGTAGGTAAGTTTTCTAATTTAAAATTGCAAAGCAGCAATTTAGAGGCTAGACGTGACCTTCAAAATTATTTTTACCAACCAAGTAATACTTGGTTGGTAAAAATAAGCATAATGCTAGGTGTTTTGTTATTTTCATTATAACTAGTTACGAGGTAATAATTATAGCCAAATAGTTTTCCTTGTTGCTTTACATGGTACGTGTACTGTACAGTGTGTGCAAAAACGTATAAATTTTTTTTTGCTTACTACAAAGTTCTAAAGCGCTTATTCTCATTTACCTAGGATACATTTTACGTTTACCGGTCCCTAGTTCCTACGTAGAAATATTTGGTACTATTACGTAAAGATATTTCGGGATTCCCAGTTTAATATACCTATACCCAACTGGACCGTTGTCATCAACAATTTAATATCAAATTGATGGATCGCCCGCTTCAAAAGCAAGTCTTGAATACCGAAGACCCTCGGGAACAGTCTTGCCAATGCAAGCGTAAAAAAGTTGAATAAGTTTGCCCTAGGTAGATATTTAGGCTGTCTATCACTAATGGCACTCCGGAAGGTCCGGATGGTCTGAGGAAGTCGAAGGGGATTGTCAACGTAGTGTCTAACAACCACTTTTTCTTATCTCACACGTAGGTTCGAGGGTACGGGAACGAGAAACACAATCTCCCGCAGACCTTTAAATACATAGATCATAGGACGAATGCAAGGACAGGGAGCTAAGGTTGTGCTAAATTATCATGTTATCGTAAATGAGTACGACGTGAAAATAGGTATACATGTGTGAATTCAACAGAATTTTCCTATTTCTGACTGTTTGAGTTCACTGTAGTACTAACATAAATTTAAAATAGCCTATTGGAATTTCGAGTTCGACCCCCGGTAATATAGTTACAGGTGCACAATGACTGGTGCAGTTTTTACCTCTGTATCAATTAGTAAAGATAAACTAACGAGTTTGCCGTTGTTACATCGGTTTGGCCTCAATTAGAAAAACAATTAAACGGATGTTAAATAGTAGATGTAGCTACTTAGGTAGAGGCGATGTCACCGACCATTGTAATGCATGACGCACTGATGAAGAGATAATGCAGTTAATTGCAAGATTAACGAAGAATTTAGCTTCTAAGTATTCAAGTGGGCGACACTGCTTGGACCAATTATAGAGTAGAATATCACTACTTAGACTAATCTACAAAGAAGGTCGATTAATAATTCAACAGCCAAGTTACGTTAAGGAAGAATGGAAGATGATGTTTTGAAAAAATCGAACTGCTCATCAAGAAAGTATTTACCTACGTAGGTACGTAACCTAATATTATAGAAACTAATATGAATCTAATTAACTAGGCACCTGATTTCAGTTGAAGAATAGTAGGCACAGAATAGTAGGTAGGTACAGAAATATAAAACAATACTGATTTTCCTATAACTTAGGTACCTAGCTAGTACCTACATAGTTAAGTACTTCGTACCTAAATCGACCTAGGTATTTAGGCACTTATATTAATAGAAAATAGTTTGATTGGTTGGTATTCTACTCACATTATTTATTTAAACAGATAGTTGCAGAACAAAGTATACCTAATGTTCTTTTTCTGTGTCTACGAGTAGATAGGTTTAGCATTTAAAATCATAATGTTCCCAAACAAACATAGATTTTGAAGGTAGTGGACAGTTCTGAGTTTCTGCCGACCTATGTTGAATGTTTACTAATGAAGCGTAAGCGATAAACAACCATTGAAAGTTACCTTAACAAGGTATCCATGGGCGCGACTCAACCCAAACAAGGACGGAAGGTGCCGGGCGCCGATAACGGTCACATATAAATTTTTACTGATTGGATGCAAGGCCAACTTGAATCCTATCTCTGGCTCCAAACTGCCACTGCCGGCCAACTGACCCTCCCGACTCGTATTTAAAATGTTCTTCAATTTATTAAGTGAAAATGCCATTGTAAACAAAGTCTTCTCTCTGCAACTAGCGTATCACACTCGCATTAAACCGGTTTTGCTGAATAATTAATCACGCAATACGATCGATATAATACGACCTCATCGTTATTCGATCGCAGTTGCTCGCTGTCACAATTTTTTTGCAATAATCACAACATAACTCCGAAAGTTTGAAACACCATTGCACGTCACTTTAATAAAACACACTCAATGAAAACCCATACAACACTATCGCTATGTATGACTGACTTACGTACGATGAGCGCATACTTCTGTAGATAGTGTCATTGGATCTAGTTATCAAGTTGAACTTGTATGAATGAAGCATTCATGTATCTAGGAAAAAATCGGATCTCTCTATCGCACACACATGATTCCGCGTTGACACTAGCGCCACAAAAAAGAGACGTGAGTATGTTAACCCACCACTAAAATTGCTATTATGTCAGTGGACGTAGTTTTATTACAATGCTACAATAGATGGCGCAACTAAATCGATAAACATGTATTGTATCAGTACTTTTTATTGTCAAATATAATGGTTATTTAATTTTGAAATTGATTTTGCGACCGAAAAGGATTTGTGTAAAATATAAATAATGTGCAATATATTATATCTTTTATTTATTAAATATTTTAACTCTTCGGAATAAAATTAACGTGTACTTGTACTCAAAATACGATTTATTTTCATTATAATTATTATACATAACATCACGCCTTTTTATCCCCGAAGGGGTAGGCAGAGGTGCAAACAGAAGTAACACCCACTTTTCACTATTTATGATATGAATCCCATGCAATAAGGGGTGAGCCTATTGCCATATACCGGGCACATTTCCAGACTCCGTGCTACTACTGAGATTTTTTCTTAAAAACCCAGTAATACTTTGCCCGACTTGGGAATCGAACCTGAGACCCCTTGCCCGGCAGTCGCACTTGCGCCCACTCGGCCAATGAGGCAGTCCTCGGCCAACGACGCAGTCCGTCATAATTATTAAGATAAATAAAAAATAAGAATATATTAAAAAGGTATTTATTTGTTAAAATGCGACAGTTCAAATGACACCATATTTCTGTACATAAAAATAAATGTTAAATAAAATTATTGTTTCTCACAATAAATCATAAAATTATCTGTTACGTAAAAGAAATTAAAACAAGAAACCTTACACAAGTCATTCACAACAATAATAAGTCTTTTAAGCTTTAACAGTTACACTGGTAAAATTATAATTTCATTTATTTAGAGAGGACTTTACTTAAAACTTTGACGATTCCGTCGTAGTAGTGTATGATGATGGAAACAATTAAAACAAACATGGCAAAACAAATGCCCGTGATGTACATGAACTGGCTCGCTTCTTGAGGTGTTGCCAGTAGCTCTTCACTGCTCGCATCCCTGTCTAGTGCATCAAACTCAGACGTATCTGTGAAAATTATATTGTTTACATAAAAAATAACGCCATCTACTAAATACATATGTACTATATATGATAATAATAATAATATTGTTATTTTATTTCGTTAAAGAATTAAATATTTACCAGCTGGCGTCTCGACATCACAGATTACATCAGCCTCTGTAATCTTCAGGTCTAACAATTCTCGAACTGAGAGAAGTGCCTCAGCGGGTGCTTCGCCGGGGAAAAGATAATCACAGAGGTACAGAGCACCTACTGGGACTAACACTCGGCGTGGCGGTTCATTGAAGCAAACTTTTTCTGTGGAAGAGATGAAAAAAAAATTGTCAAATTGTGCATCATTGCCATAAATAAACAGGTTTTAATTAATGTATGTACGACCAAGTACTATGCCCATATTAATAAAAACTTCCCAAAGGATCCCTTTATCCAGACTGGTAAAATTACACAAAAAAACCTAACTCAGTTATTAAGGATGGCTACAATAGACATTATAAAGGTAAAAAGAGAATAGGCTGGCCAATTTTATTATTTCAGTGGCAGTTTCTTACCTTCAGGTAGTAAGTTATCATCAATCAATGCATCGCAATGCATGGTGAACCGAGATGCTAAGGATCTTATTATGTCTTGTTTAACTGCTGCAATGGTTTCACTGACAGTTGCCTTCGGGTACATAAACACACTTGAAGATACTACACCACTAAAATGAATGCTGCCATCACATTCCAGATATTCCACTGTTTCAGGTAGCGAGTTTTCCTGAAAGATAATAGTTATTGAACTTGAGAAAGATTTTCTTTATTAACATAAAAAGGATTTCTTTGTTCTAAGAGATAATAATCTACAATAACTCATTCATGTGTCAACATGAGAATTAATAGCTGTTCTAAATATTAGCATAACAAATAAAATCATACATTCATAAGAGAACCATTCTGTAACTAGTTACACAGTATTGTTTACTTACAAATGGCACAAATAAAGAAACATTCATTGATTTAGGAAGCTCCTGCTGAACTGATTTAGTGTTAGTTTTAGGTTTCTTCTTTTTAAAGAGCAGTTCCAGAACTTCAGAGTTGTCTTTGAGTTCACCGTCTATGAACATGATGCTGGATTCAATTGTTTTGTGAGCCGATTCCAAAATTTGCTAGAATTAGAAAAGTTAATGTTAAAAAGTAGAACTTTATAAATCATACAACTGTCATGAAAAACACATTTATCAATTAAACTGTCAAACACCAAGCGGTCACCGGTGACCGCAACCTATTGTTCTTTAATTGTGTCTATAAATACGGTATTCGACGAGTTAATGTATGGTGACAAAGCTAAAATATAATATTTTTAACATTATTTAATAACACTTGTTGAATTGTTCTGTCTTTTACTGTAATGTGTATTATTTGGTTGGTATTTTAATAAAATATCAGTTAAATTAACGTACCTGAAACTGTTGCTTCACAGATATGCCACTTTTCTTTACAATCACAGGATAAACATCATCAAACTCGTAATAGCAGTCCAATCGCTGCCACTGTTGGGCTTTGGGCAAGAACTTCCATTCCACTGGCTTGATTACTGTACTTTTGGCAGGTGCACCAACTTCAATACTCTTACAAGTAAGCACTTTTGTACTAGTAGACATATGCAACATAAGTCTTTCATTTGAATACGGGCAGTTTCCAAACATGTACTGGTTAGTATTCATTGCCTTGTATATGTGATTTACAATTGACTTCACTTTGCTGAAACTGTTTGGTTCCTCAAAAATATCTTCATCACTTGTTATAAAGATCCCTGGAATTATATAAATACCTTATTATAATATGTAATAAGAAAAAACATTTATGAATAACAATCAGATTATTATGGTAATGACTAAAGATGTGCATAATGTAATAATAATAAAATATGAACTTTGTTCTTGAAATTAATTTAAAACAAATCACAGAAATGTTGGCTCACCTTGAACAAACATGCCTCCAGGAAGCATTCTAGTTACGTGTTTCGCATGATCGGCGACCCACGCTTCGGAGACATTTAAAAGTGTCTTCGTTTCTATTTTTTCCAATACATAACTTGTCTCTGAGGCACTTTCAGAACTTTTCTCATCTGGTGTGCGAGCCAAGTGGATGACATTCTCTCGGGCGGCAGTTGACTTAAATTTTAAATATGCATAGTTTCATTAAGAAGTATTAGGAATGCAAGCAGTAGTTATAGTTAGTAGTCGAGTGTAATATAAAAAAATATTGTTTCTTTGCACGAATATATAGTATTTGATGCTGTATATAATAGACATCGCAGACATCATAATAAAATACTAAGATAATTGACTCACCTGCCCGAGAATTAATCCTATTACGAAAATTTCTTTCGAAGCATATTGCTCTAAATACTGCAAGCAATATTCCGGAGAATAGACTGTCCGGACCATTGTTATGATTTATATTATATCAGGAGCATGCACTGTTTTAATTGATTGGAATAATCTGCGCTGTATCCTCTATTTTATTATTGAAAATCGAGTGCAAACTTTGTTTTGTCGTGTCACAGACAGAATTTACAACATGTTTCATTTGTCACTTCTCAGCTAGTGTCAATGTCAATATTATGACGTTGGACGTATGGCAGTAGACAGTAACGTCAAATGTAATGTTGCCATAACAAGAACAGGAATTAAAAGAAAGTTGTTTGTTCAAAATATACGTTTTTTACTGTACCTATAACTCACCATTTTCAGTTTTGCATGTAGGTATTCTGGTTTGATTCAATTGCTTATACAATTACTAGCGAGACTTGGTATTATGAATCGCCCACTACAGAAAGGGACATAAGGATGTTATACCATAGAACCATTACATTACAGCATGAATACAGAAGTTCCCATCACACTTTTAAAAGAATCCGATAGGAAGGTAATTTTGTTTCAATAGGTCATGTTTCTCATAATTGGTAGGTACTCATGGTTGGAGTCTTGGAGTAAGTCTTGTAGCTTACAAGTGTCAATGACGAAGTTTGTGAGACTCATTTTAAAACCACTTCATTCTTGTCAGACTTTCAGACTGCAGACTTTCTCATGGAATATATAGGTACTAATAGACAATTTGTTGCCACCATCATTTGATCAGTCTCATCAATCGAGGATCTGCCTCGTGTTTATCCTCAACTTTTCTCTACAGTACTAGACGTTCCACGGATTTACCTGTTATTACGCCGTAATACATGGCCAAAGAAATTAACTTCGGTAGGAGTGTGATTATCGAGTAAACTTGATGTGTAGTATCAGCCCTGTGTCGTGTCAGGCGGACGCTGAGATTTGGAGTTGGAGAGTTGGAGTACACTTGGTGCAACCTTTAGCTGGATATATTGTCGTTAGGGTTGCAAAAGTTCGAGCATTCGAGGGCTGCGTTAAGTGGTAGAAACATGTGGAAGTGTGCAAGAAACATGCCCGCTGAGTTTTGAGAGATGAAGAAAGTTCGAATGTGTGTATGGACTACAGCCGACAAGCATAAATAACATAAAATTAGTAAGTAAGGTACCACTAATGTGGTGGTAGTGGGTAATGAATTAAAACATATTTAAAAATCAAATTTGTTTAATATGAATACAACAGTAAACAGGCTATTGTAATAAGTTCACTTAAATAATAGACAGTGCTTTAACCGATCAGGTGATGTCCAGCAGCTATCATGGTAGGTAAACTTGACAGCAACTAGTCGCTCAGGCACCATTTGTCGTGCAAAACTCACGCACTCTTAAAAATAAGCAATCATACGTGCAGCAACCGTAATTTTTTAAAGTATACGAATCTTCTACAAACGCGCATAGAAAAGGCTTGTAAAATCAAAATATTTAGTAGTAAAATAAATTTGAATGAAACACCGCGACTATTGTCTCCGAGTTCTTAAGTATTAATTAATTAATATCCTATTATTGTTTAGTTAAATTTGCATTTTGAGAAGTCCATCTCGGGATGCTGTTCCATGAACCTGTAAAAGAAAAAAGATCAAATATTAGGTATCTTGAATGGATTGTCACGTCGCGTCGCGTGTCGTCGGCAAATTGTTTGATTTTGAGTTGGTTGACTCAATATTTGCAAAAATAGGAGCAAATCTCAAAATCTTTGAGCAGATCCGACTGTTTGAATACGATACGACCTTTTTTCTATCTAACGCTAGTCCAGTACCATCAGTATTTTATCTAGTCTTTACGTGACTTACTTTTTGAGCACATCTTGTTTCTTTTGTTCATCACTAGTAGGCAGGCCCATTTCTTTTTGTCGTTGATCGTACATCATTTTTTCAACTAAACCGCGGGTTTCTCCGTCCAAATCGGAAAGTTTTGATGGTTCTGAAACAATAGTAATAAAAAAATTGTTTTGAAAAAATAATAATAACTTGCTTCAACTTCCTAGTTCCTGTTTAAATGATCTTGAATACAAGTTACAAATAATTTTAATCTTTTAATTTTATCTGTGGCCCTATAGCTGCAGAGACAAATGATCCGAAATGTAATTAAAGTCCTTTTCCCGAAAATTCTACCTTGAAATTACAAATTAAAAAAATATAAAAAATAACCCATGGTTTCGATCTTAAGATAACGGTTAATTTGGCAAATTGAATGCAGTTTCCGGAAATACCGCATAAATAAACAATAAGTACAGAAACAGAGTCCATTAAACGTACTACTGTCTATTTAACAGTTTAACTGCCGTATAAAACGCCACGAAGTACCGAGTCAGTTCTGCGTGAGCAATTAATTACCATAAATACATGCTATAACTTTACCAAAATGCTTACCTGGGTTGATCTTCCTCGTAGATATTTCCGGGTCGGTAGTGACTAGCCTGCCCCACCAATTCATTTTATTGACCTATAATAAAAATTTACAACATTATTTTATAAGAAACTCATCATTACCTTAAATTGGTTTCCACAGTAAAAAAAAACACACCATTTTACGTTACATAATGACAACTTCATTAAAATGTTTAAATAATTGTACAAAGCAATTTTAGAAGTGTTACAAGGTTTGTTTATGACATTTTAGAAAAAAAACCTCACGCATTTATATTATCAATGTTCGGCTCAGTTGTTTACACACTGTTATACAATGAAACGATCATAGAAATTGACTACCGACAAGGACCTCATGTTCTCTGATTTGGACACTGTATTTGTATCCTTTTCCTTCTGTGTATGATCTTGTAATACTTATCCTAATGTTGTAATTGATCGTGATGATACAACGGAACTTATATAACTTGGAAACTACCTATAAATAAGGAAGCAACAGTCGAGTGGTGTCGCTGTGGTTATTTAGGACTGATTCGGTAGCAAAAATCAACATTGGCAAATGTAGATTCGAAATTAGCACATGTTTAAGAGCGGTAAACACAATATTTACTTTACATTACCATTTCAAAGAGGTAGACGATTGTATAAGAACTATGATAAAGCTGTATTACTCGTGCATAGAAGTAGGATCACGTACGCACCTTTTCTAAGTTGATAAGTAAATTACGTCCATCTTGCAACACCCACGTTGACTCTTCTATCTTGACTTCGGCATCTAGTTCGCCATCGATGATAAGCGGCTGGCCTTTGATGCCGACTTTGAGATGCTTCTTGTTGATGATAACCGTTAAGTCACGTGGCCTCAGAACTTGACGCAGTGGCACTCGAAGCTGTGAACATAAACACAGGTAGGTATATAATTATTGTGTTTTCCGCCAGACAATACACTAGTTTTTGCACGAACTCGGAACCTGCACTAAGTACTTAAGTACACAAGTTATATGCAATGTTACATTGATATTATGCTGTGTCCAAGACTCATTGTAAGTTTAAAGGTTACGACGAAGATATAATGTCTAAATTACATAATAAACATAATTATATAACAGCCAAAAGCTAATTATTTATGCATTTTATTTATTCAATATTTACTTATAGAGAGGCAGGTACCTAATACTGTAATTTATAGTCTAGAATATTTTATGTTGCTAAAGGTGAGCGCTAGACTAGGTATACCAATATAATATTAATAGACTCATCTCTGTTACTGTCAGATGGATCAGAAATACTAGTAGTACTGCCTTCGGAGAATGGTTCTAAAACTAGTAAACACGTTGCAGTTTATCATAAGACATATCATAATAACTTAAAAATATAATCAACAAAAAATTAAACAAAAAAATGACTTCTTAGAAACTAGAGACATTACACATTTAAATATGAAAAATAATTATGAGTTGGCTCGTTCTGAAGAATGATAACATTTTTCAGAAACCAGTCCAGTCTGATGAGTTACTCTAGTTCTAGAACTGCTTAAAATAAATCTGTACGGAAGGTACAGGATATTGGAATGATCACCTCGAATGTGAACTACATAGTACATGCCACACGTCATCATAATAATTGTCAGTTAATTGGACATCTACGTAAACGGATATAAACAATATTGTTAATTCAGTTGCGTTTCATTCATTGAATAAAAAACTGAAGGTGAAGGGTCACAATGACACCTTAACATTTCAACAGTTGGAAAAAGTAAAAGACCTGACAATTTCTTGCATTGCGTCATCATAATAACCAATATTATGGATGTGACGTCAAAATTCCTTAGTACCCAGTCAATAAAAAAATTACAATCATATAAACATAATTTAATTACGATTACTTACACGTTTAACCCAATTAAAATACTTTCACTTGTTTGCTACATAATTCACCTTGTTTTAATACTGAATATTTTATGTCACGACTCGTAGTACAATTTTGAAACAACACAACTTAATGCCAATCTGGTTGTTTTCCTATCAGAAACAGTAAAAATATTATGTTGTTATGAGGAACATTAGATATTTTATTATAAATTATTCCAAACGTCTCTCGTGGAATGTTAGATGATGCCGGATTCATCGACAATCACTTAAAAGTTTAAATATTTATAACAATCGAATATAATAATTATGTGAAAATAAATGCAATAAAAACTAGTTTCCTTTTTCTTATAAATACATTATTTACCAATTATTGTATATTGTTCCGTGAATGCTGTTGCCACAGGACCGGTCACGCTCATTTTAGTTGGACTTGAAAACCTGTGTATATCCTCGACAAAAAGACTAATACAAATACAAAATACAAAAATTTTTTATTTCTGAACCAAATATTTTTTTAACAATAGATTGTGATTGGAGCCTCCTTTTAGGTAAATAATGCCTGTATTAGGAGACTCCGCTCTTCCATAACATAACAATATTTCAAAAGTTTTTGGTTTTTACAATTACCAGTTTATTGACTTATATAAATAGATTTATGTGTAAGGGGTGTATGTGAGTGTGGGGTGTATGTGTGTGTGAGGTGCGCGTATCTGTGTGTGTGGCGTCTGTGTCGTGGTGTATCTGCGAGGGTGTGTGAGGGATGGTTATTTTACGTGTTGCAGCAGGGCTTCCGTACTTTCGTATGTTAGATTTTTTATCCATTCGATTAGCAATTTCTTACATTCGTGTAGTTGTTTAGTGTATATGTATATTTCTTTGTTTACCTTATTATATATTTGTGCAGAGCGTTTATTGTATTGTATAGCAGCAAGTTTAGTTTTAGTTTGTGGAACTTGTGCAATCATATCTTTACGTCTCTTTGATAATATTTTACTGTCATAAAAAACAGTTTTGTGTTTTTTTAAAATCAGTTGTGTGATGTACAATTTCCTAACAGAGAGTAAACCACTTATCTGATAAATACTTTCAGTAGGGTGCCTCCTACTTTTAAAATACATAATTTTAATGAGTGCTCGTTGTCCTCGTTCCACCTCTATAAATTTGGTTTTTGCTGCACCGCCCCATATCGGTATACAGTATGTTATGATGGATTGTGCAAGGGCGATGTAAATTTCGTTTAAGAGATTTCTGTATTGGCCGGTTTTTTTATTTGTAATGGTTGGAACGACGTGTCTCAATGTTTTGAATATCCAACATAATTTCCTTATTCTATGAGTTACGTGTTCGATATGGAAATACCAAGACAACTGTTGATCAATTATGACACCTAAATATTTTGTCTGAGATACTTTACCAATTAGAGGACATGTACAATCATTATTAGCGGTTTTCTGCTTACATGAATGCACTTTAATACTGAAGTCTTCATTTGGTTGTGAACGCTTTGAAGCAGAGAAACAGATATAGTTAGTTTTAGTTGCGTTCAAAGTTAATAAATTATTATTTAGCCAGTTAGCGATCTTAGTCATACCCTTCTCAGCTTTAAGCTGAACTTCAGGCCAGTTATCTCCAGAAAATACAACAGCGGTATCATCAGCGTACGAAAAAATGCTAGCGTTATCGACTTTTAAGGTACAGAGGTCGTTAATATACATTAAAAAGAGTGTAGGGCCCAAAACGCTACCCTGAGGCACGCCAAATGAGACGTCTGCATTATCACTGAGATATGTACCTATCTTAACTCTCTGCCGTCTCTCTGATAGGTAATCTTTAAGGAGATTGAGTGGTACTCCTCTTATTCCGACTCTTTCTAGTTTGGACACAAGGGTTGGAACAGAGACGGTGTCGAAAGCTTTTTTTAAATCTAGGAATACCGAGAGGCATTTTTTTCCTACATCTAGATGCTCAGCAATCACTGAGCTGAGGGCAGAAACTGCGTCTTCAGTGGCTACTCCCTGTCTGAAACCAAATTGAGTGGGCGACAATATTCTGAATTTATTAAAATAGTTAACAAGTCTCACGTTTATTAACCTTTCCAAAACCTTAGATAAAGCCGGTAACACAGAGATAGGTCTGTAATTGTTTACATCGTCACTGTTTCCACCCTTGTGTACCGGAGTAATAATTGATTGTTTTAGTAAGGTCGGAAAAATACCATTTCTAAAACAAAGGTTAGCCAGATGGGCGATGATCGGTACGACTTCCCTGCTAACATACTTAAGAAATCTAGTCGAGATGTTGTCCCAGCCTGGAGCACTGTCCGACTTTAAACTCATCAATATGCTTTCAACTTCCCTAGGGTCTGTGTCCAAGAGTACAAAAGAATTATTTTGCGCATGTCGGTTATTACATCGATAATCATTGTTTTGATTTCTTGTAAGCTGAATTTGTTGGGCTAATTGCTTTCCAATATTCGCAAAATAATCATTTACAAAATTTACAGATGCTAGTGGGGACGGCAAGATATTTAATAATGTGCTTTGATTTTTAGTTTTGTTTGAGTAGGTGATTGTTTTAATGTTTTTCCAAAGTAACTTTGAGTTGGTGGCTGATTTGGCAAGTAGATCTCTTTCATACTTTCTTTTTAATTTTTTAATCAAGTTATTACAGTAATTTCTATAACGACGGTATGTAATTTTTAATATTTCATTATGTGGTTCAAGTCGAGAGACTAATAACATCCTCCTTTTAATAGACATAAATCGAAGGTTGTAGCAGCGAAAATCCTGTCTAAATATAAATAATATAGAAGGCTAGCTTCGGCTAGGAGTCACGCAGTAAACCATTTAAGTACAATTATCAAGTTAGGTTGCTAAGCTGGACAGGACAACACGGTACCTAAGTAACAAGGTGCTGGCCGCGAACTGACATCATAATGACATGCATAGAATACGGAATGAATAAGTCTAAAAACAACAATAATTATGTTTCACAAGAGGACCGCCAAGACAGAACGCGTTCTTCGAACGAAGGCGTGATGACCTCGCATTCCTGGCAAGGACGATGTGCATGAATATACCCGCGTCTGCGCACAACCGGACCGGACCGGACAATATACTTACGAACTTCTTTGTGAATCATTAACGTGACCCCATAATGACCATCAATTGATATGAACATGCCGAAATGATGACCAGGTGCTGCGAAACAAGTTTTAATGAGGATGGCAACTTTACATATTCTACTTTATGCATCTGACAAGTTGGTCTGGCGTTTATTTATAATGGCTAGACTGAACATGTTATTTAATTTGTTTTGAAGATTTTGCTACCCGGCAATTAATAAAAATTAAACGCCCTCATTGGAACATATTTGGAAGCTTTATTTTAAATGATAACAAAGTATGATTATGAACCTTGACCTTGATAGAATTTTAATAGTGAATTCTGCGTTGTCACATAATATGTAATTAGTGATACAGTCTATTAATATATAAAATAAACAACATAATGTTTAGGTGACCCGTGGCCATGATCATTATTCAGATATGCTAAGATGATGCATAATAAAATGATTAAGTCCTGTTGATACGACCCAGTTCAATGCTAACCATATCTAACTAGAAATTCTGTGAGCTATTATAATATACGAAGCTTTATAGTTTTCCTCAAAAGTATTTAATGGAATATCTGATATTTTTGCAATAATTGCGTAAGAGGGATCGCAAATACCATTAGTATGATAAGAACTAAACATTTTATAGGTAGAGTCCTGTTACTACCGTCATAATGCACTTAGATTAAATCACTTTTAATATAGCTTCAGCGCAAAATAGATTGAGAAATATTTTTATACACAAATATTGATCTAAGATAACTCGGTGCTAATTGGACAAAGTTTGCGAAATGTTCTCCTTTATCCTTTGATGTGTCAAGAAGTAGGCGTTATCAGAATTCATAGAGCAACGGATAATTGGGCAATGATACAGCTAACTTAATGATATAATTGCATTCCAATTA